ATATATATATATATATATATATATATATATATATATATATATTAAAATGAGCAATATGTATTTTTTACAAGAGACAATTATGCTTTGAGATGAGTAAGATTATCATGAAAGACAAAGTCTAAGATTCACTTGCATTTGAGGCACTTAAATAATCAAAACTCAAGACTAATAGTTAAACGTGATGAATCTCACCAATTAATTCAAGGGTTAAGTGATTTAATACATTTTACGTTACTTCATTTAGTATTAACTTATTAAAATGAATGTACTAAAGTGTATTTTTTTTAAAGTATAAATATCGGCTTAAACCTCTACTATTACTATTACAACAAAAATAAGTAAAAAAGAAAAAGAAAAAGAAGAGAGCAGAGAATATGCTAGTAGTCAAAGATAATAATTTTTTGTTATCATTGGTCCAAACTTTAGTTTTTCATATCTTGGACCAGTTAAGCCCAAACGACATGTCAGTCCATAGTTTGCTCTTGCTAGTTGCTAGGCCTTTTATCTTTTGCTAGTTTCGGTCTTTCAATACATTTCAGTTTGATCAAAAGGAATTGCATGTATCTAGCTAGGGAAAAGAATCAAAATTAAATAATTCATTATTATTATTTTATTAATATATATATATATTCTACGTAAATATCAAAGAATGAGAAGGGTGCCAGTCACTAGTCAGTGCATGATTGAAGACAATAGGTTTAAAACAATTGTTGAAATAGAACTGATACTAATTCGGTGAGTTTTTATTTTTTATTTTTTTTATATTTTAGTTTACTTCATAAAATAAAACTAAAACATGTACCATGTATAACAGCGTTAATTGTCATATAAATGGAGAAAACCAAGCACGTGGTAAGTTAGTCTATAGTGAAATGAGTCAAACTATCCAAAATTATTGACATCAATGATAAGAAGTGAAGAACTAAATCAGGACGTCCTAATAAGGTTCTAATTGGTTAGAAAATAAAAGTGAGGCAAAACAAATAAGATTATGTAAATAACATATAAATAACAAAAATGTGCCCTTATTAATTTTGAATTTTTATTTCAAAAATTGAAACAAAAAGATATTAACTTTTAAGAATAAACTTAATTTTTATCCACATTATTTAAACTAGCGGGAAAAGACACTATGTCTCTCTTGTTAAAAAGAAAAATAAAACAAAAGAAATATAGTTATTTGAAAGTGTGTTTCTTTTTTTTAAAAAAAATTAAAATAAAAAAAATAATAAAGTGAGGTAGTTATTTAAAAAGCATGAGTAGTTTATAATTTATGAATGAGTAGTTTAAAGATAAAATTAGAACCAAAATGTGTATGTGAAAAAAGTTTATCATTTTTATTAATAGTTATATATAGATATTTAAAAGTCATATAATTTTTTAAAAAAAGTAAGTTCTTTGTTTATCATTGATCTGGATGAAACTTGACTTAATTCTTTTAAATTAGGTTACAAATTCAAAAAAAAAAAGTGTAAACATGGTTGAAAAAAAAATTCACAAAAGGTGATTAGTTATTAATTATTACCTGCAGCGTAGATATTTACTAAGATAACAGTTTAAAAAAAAAAAAACTGATTAAAAAAAGTAAGGTAACAAAACATAAAAAAATAAATCTAAGCATGAATCAACCCCTACCGCTGAACCACACGCCTGAAGTTAGCACGTATTGATTTTGAAAACACATCAAATAATCTAATCATTTTAAAAGCTAAAGACGCTTTTTTTTTTCCTCGTTTGGTGCTCCATCAATTTCCGCCACTTCAATTGGATCATATAATTTTGCACATTATTATATTCTAACAAGATTTTCGTACGGTATACAAATATTTTTTTTTTAATTTTTAAGTAAAATTTATACATAAAAAATTAAGGATGAAAGTAGAACTTTTATAACAAATAATAAAAATTTGACTTTAATAAATAGATATAATTTAAGATTTAAATATATTTTTAGTTTATATATATATATATATATAATTTTCATCTTTTTAAAATTTAAAATTACTATTTTTTTATCCCCAATACTTATTATAAAGTAAATAAATAATAATTATTTTAAAAATTTATAATTTTTTTTAGATGTCACATGCTAATATAGTATTAAATACATTTGTGAGTGTCACTTTAATACATTTGTGAGTGTCACTAGGAATGATTATTTGATCATATAATAAACACAAAAAGAAGTTAACAAGAATTACAAAATTTTGGAGAAAAAATCAACAATTTCAATTTTAGAAAAATAAAGATCAAAATCAAAAGTAACTTATTTTACATAAATTAAAAATATATTTAAGTTTATAATTTAAAAGGTCACAAATTTTAAAGTTGAAAAGGACTGATATTTTAAATTAAGACAACTCTTTTTTTTTTATGATATGATGTGTCTCAAAATTCAAAATTCAAAAATTAAATTCAATTTAGTAAAAAAAAATCTTGTTTAAGAATGAGAAATTAAATTTATAACATACTGGTATTTTAGTTGGTGATGTTTATTTTTATATAATTAAAATACATAATGAATAATATTTTAAATATGTATAATATATTATCATTAAAATTATCTTTAAATATATAAATAATATTTTTGATTTATCTTACAAAGTTACAAGTATCTAATAAGGAGAATATCTCTACTTGTATACACAAATTTTAGGTTATTTTACTCTTATAATTACTCCAAATCACATTTTTTCTTTTCTTTTATTTTTTTAAT